AGGTGCTTCCAAAAGACATTCAGTGCCACTCCAAATTCCTCAGAAATTACATTGTGGAACCACAAAGCTGTAGAAAGAAGAATGTCTAAAATGAAAATTACTATCTGAAACTTCCACGTGACTCATAACAAGTGTCAGAACCACCCAAACTAAATCTAGTTGTGGAAAAGCCTCAACTACTATATTTTTTGTTTATTTATAAATATTCATCCCTGAATATATCGCATTGTGCGAGATTTAAGAAGTTCTTCAAGACGTTTACGTTGATCCATAACTTCACACAAAAGTAACAATTGCTGAAGTATAAAGAGATAGTCAAATGTAAGCAAATGATAAGCATGTGTAGGATGAAAATAAGACATCTTCCCTGTTCACCTCACTCATCTCTACTCTGCATGCAGGTATCTATTTTCTTAGACTTAGTCCCTAACCTTGCACAGATTGTCCAAGCATTAATGTAAATCACCAGCGTCAGCCAGGTCACCGATGCAAGTTGCTTATCTTTTCATAGTGAAGTCATGAGGCTTTTCAATTGAATCATCATGGCTATGGTAAGGGAGCAACGACATTTTTGCTTCATCAAGTACATTTTAAAAATACGTTTAATGTAGTATATTTACCCTATTTCAATTTTAAGCCAAAAGACAATGCCGTGCTTATTGCAGCTTAGTTGCTTGTATGTGCCGAAGACATAAGAAAAGCTTATTCTGAGAAATGAACAAGAAGTTTCTTTCAGGTTAGGAAGAGGGGCTGCTTCTACCTTCTCCATAATAACCACACACATTTCTCAAAGAACATCTCGTTTTTTCAGTGATGTGCATTCCAGAATGCTGACAAAGCTAGCACCATTCTCTGGACTCAAAAATCCCTATACTCCCCAGTCATTCTTAAGAGTACCAAGTGTGTCTTAAGTTTGGACCAGCACACCTCCTGGCAAAGACAAACTAGTATCTGTACTGCATAGAATAAAACAGAAATTATGTATGCTGACATAAGCAACAGTGTGACATACCTTTCACTAACTGTAACCAAAAGTTTCTTTAGAAAGAAACACAAATGGTAAGTTCAAAATTAAGTAACGAGTCCAAGGCTAAGAATCTATTTTAAAACTTCCTAAAAACCTACTGCCTTCTTGTTTACTGGCCTGTTTATATTGCCCAGATAATATGAAAAGCAACAGAATAAGTATCTGCCCCAAGCTCACAATGAGCTAAAATAAAAAATTAATAACAAGTAGGAGTAGTTCAATAGGTTAATTCAAATGCCTTTCCCTGATCACCAGAATTGTCGTCTCAGCCCAAGAAGCAGCTTTATATTTTCTGCTTGTGCAGAAAAATGATTAGGACTTGTCTTTCCATTCCAAAAGGTGATTATAGATTTCTAGAAGGTCCAATAACTCTACCATCCATAATTCTCATCAAATCATGCCCCTCACAGTTCTTAAGTGCCAGAGCTACGGGAGAACAGAAATGGTACTTCACTCAAATTCTGTCATTAGAAAACTCAGGTCACTGAAGCAATTTCAGATTTCATGAGTTGATTTTTTAGTGCTACTCTATTAAGACACAAATTCAGAAGCACGCAGTGTAATCTTGAGGGAAGGTAAGATTTGTAGGTAGATATAATAATACCTCTTATTAGGCTAATTAGTACAGTTGGAAAAGTAGACAAGTTTTGCCAATGTCTTTAGATGCTCCTACTTATAACACAGAAATGCTTTAGTAACCTCTTACCATCACTAGAAATGAGAAATTGCAAACACAACTGTTTAAAAACACAGCATGGTGAGGAACTATCTGTTACTTACCTGGAATAAATAACACATCTCCTGCTTCCAGAAAACATTGATAGCGCTTGGCTTTCACAAAAAGGGGATATTTCTCTAAGTCTGGGTTATCCACATCCAGCACCTCTGACTTAGTACCTAGGAAAGTTTTCAGAAGTGGTAAATAAATGTTCCTACTCTTCCAACAGTAACAAAGCATTATCACATTGCTGGAAATGGCGGTTCTTGAATCAAATTTAATACTGGTTTATTTTTCTGTAACTCCTCTAAAAACCAGGCAAACCTGATGATACTCCTCATTTACTGAAGAGACATATTCTCCTGTTGTCTATATTTCTCCTGTAACTGCAACCTTATTAACACTAAAAGACACTTTCCCTGACATTTAAAACACCATTTTGAATCCAGACGGAACACTGTACTGCTCCACAGTTAGGTGCTGACAACAGAACCAGGCAAAGCCTTTGCAAATTTCCTAACCTGCCCCACTAAAATGCTTAGCTTTGACTAAAGCAAACAGGATCAGAGTTAAGGGACCAAATGGCTTCTTTTACATCAAGCTGTCTGTTAGTGATTTTTTTCTACAGTGCAACACTTGTGAGCTGGAAAGGCAACTACGATCACCAAACTCTGAACTAGATATATATGACATGCATACCTGATAAATACAAATACGGTGCATCTCGGGGACTATACAAAACAACTCGTTTTTTCCCTGTTACTTGGATTAAGAAGTTATCCATTACCTGGAATAAGCATAGTAAGAGACAAGTCAGCCAAGAGTTAAGAATGAATACGTAGCCTGTAACTAATCTAAAATATCATCAGCTTAAAAAAGGGAATTATTAAAACCTTCATATGTAAGGAATTAGCTAAAAGAGCTTCCACATATAGTTAATCTAAAAAACTCAAGAATGTGAGTTACTTTATCCCCTTAGCTGCACATTCTTGACAAACAGTGTATCCGGAAACACAGTCTTGCTTTCCAACAACTTCGTGCTTTTCCTTAAATAGGAATCAAGTTCTTCCATCTTAAAACAAAAAGACATACCATACTTTAGACATATAAACCAGCAAAATATAATACAAAATATATTTGGGATTCCTTTTCTTTTTCAGTGTTATTCCTACCTCATTTTGCTGACTTTCTATTGATAAAGGATTCTTTTTGCTAATTATAATGCAAAAAAACTTTTTCTTATTAATAAATTTATTCAGAATTACACTGCACAATGTTACTGTGTTTCAGAGTTTTAACTGAAACCCAAAACAGTAAAAAAAAAAAAAGGGGGGGGGGGAAAAAAAACATCATTTAATCTTACAAGTATGGAATTAGACATAAAAACAGTAAGATATTATGCCCACACAATACATATATTTAAAATTCACTGCACCACTGAATGTGATTCATTTCACTATTTCAAAATATGCAAAGTTTGTCATTAACTGATCTTTGTCAGAGATTCGCACCTTAATATCTGTGGCGGTGTGCTCCACCCCCAATGCGTAAGCAACGACCACCAGTGGGGGTGGTTGTGGCTCCATCCAGCTTATGCTGGACTTTGGGAATGGACGGCAACACAGTAGCCAAGGGCTGTTTGAGGCAGTGACTCAAACAACTTGCTGACATGCAAATATGACTATAAGTCAATCATCTTACTCTATAAATAGTGGACAGCCCAGAGCCTGTTGAGCTCTCCTGCACGGCAGCGGGCTGCACGGCGGGATCTCCCCTTGAGCAGGGACGCCTCTCAGGGTTAGTCCTCAAGGTTGAGAATCCTTGCCGCAACAGATCCTTGGTAAGTAACTAATAGCATGCTAAACTTTGAAATCTTAGCTAAGTGATATAAAGGATTAATTGCACATATACAATCCTTTAGACATAAACCGCTGACCAAGTCTGGGACTAGGATTGGATCCAGCCGCACCTAGACTCCTCTCTGAGAAGGAGTCTAGAAAGCAAGGTGTTCCTTTCCTTTCTGAACCTCATGGCTTAATGGGAGGGTCTCCCTGATGGTTTTGTCTGACCCTATCCTCCATGCAGTAAATAATCAAGTGTACCCTGCCATCGAATCTTGTTAAATCACTGTCGCATTTACCATTGAACTTTGTTAACTCGCACTTTAACTCACTGTTTTCCATCAATAAAGTGTATTGTTGCTTCTCTCTTATGAGTGAAGTGCAGTCTCACTCCATCCGTGACAATATCTCAACTCCATAATACCATCTGCAACATTTTATGCTAAACACATGTATTACCTACATCATAATGTGTCCATAACTGTAATCCAGCTGAGCTGATGCGGAAGACACTGGAGAAAAACTGTTCTTTCTCAAAATACTCTGGAATCTGAACATCTTCTGCCAAAATAGGAAACTGTTTTCTGATATCTGCAATATCCTGAAACAAAAAGGACATAACTCTTAGAGAACCATATATGCACATTAAAATAAGGGAGCACTTCACTGTCATTTCCCACCATATGAAACACGGGGCTAGAACTTCAGCATTGGCAAATAGCTGAAAATAGCAATCCTTTTTGGTGGTCACCCTTTCAGCATTGACTTGGTCAACGATATTAATAAGAACAGCCAGAGAGCTGCTTTGAACCATGGCTGCTAGAAATCACACTGAAGAAGCAAGAGATCGTCAGAAATCCTTTTATATTAGTTTACAACAAAAGCTAAAGAATGGGACATGAGGAATGTACTCTTAGTGATCAGCCTAGCTCTCCTATAACAGCAACCATTTTAGACACTGAGGTTTAAATATTCTGACCTAAATCCTGTCACATTCACAGGCCAAGTGACCATAAACAAGTTGTATGCCTGTACTACACAGCCAGCAGATGACAACAGGCTTTTTAAAATATTCCTAAACTGCGACTTTACAATATTAGAACTGTAATCTCAAGTAACTCACCTTCCTAGCATCTTCACCCACTGATCGCAAATAGTACTTTTCATCCTGAAGAGAACATAAAAAGAGAATTTTTTGGGTTTTTTAATAAGAATTACAAACTCCCTTAAACAAAGAGCCTGTATTTTCTCGTTAATCTAATGCAGGGCTTCATTAAAACATGGTACAAATAAATGGCATTTACAAATTCAGCTACTTAGTTCTACTGCCTTTACTCTACTGCTCCCTGCTGTTCATCTCAAGAAATGGGAAAAATATGTTAACTGAGAGTAGAACAGTAAAGTGGGGGGAGACTTGTGAATTGCTTCAGCATTGCTGTTACTGAACGGATTCAAAGCAAATGCAGATTATAATTTAAGTTCTTCAGAACACTGATGCAGGAAGCTATTTCAATCGGCTTCAGAACTTACAGCATCCTATGTAGCATAACAGGTGAAAAGCATGTCTGCATTCAAAACTGTTTGCTTCCTAATCACAGTTATCTGAAAAAATCCTAGTTTGAACACTGATACGTAAAGATAGCCACACATTTGCTACTCACGAATTATGTTACTATAAATCTGTATTTGTATCTTGATAGCAGATGTAATCAAACTCTAAAATATCTTCATGACATTTTCTTACAAAACACGTAAATAATACAGTTGTTATTCTAAAGCAAGGTTTGATTTCTAAATTTTATGCTGGAATTTTTGCTCATATAAGCAGTTTTTGTTAACAGAAACAGGATGGCTGAAGTTAACCACACTGTACACATACAAAACAACTTCCGAGAAAAATTATTTCTCCCCACATTTTTCCCCTTGGCTCCAAGCCACACAAAACAGTTAAATCTGAGATCAAGTGCTTTACTGGAGTAAGACTTTAAATTACAATTCATCATTTTGCCCTCCATATACTGGCAAAATAACCGACAGAAGAAACTGACACTAAGGAAATTACCTCAGAAAGAAAGTACTCCTTGTGTTTGACTTCAGCTGCTCTTTGTACAAATGCATCAAAAGGCAGAGTTCTGAAATATAAACATTTAAATTTATACAATGAATCAATGTAACAACACATGGTCTAAATTCCAGGTTTAAAATCATAAGCTCTCTTACCATATCTAGTATAACTGAAGATGCAATATGCTGCTTTTTTTTTTTTTTTAACATTGTGACTAATCAGTGATTGCAGTGGATGTTTGAAGAGTTCTACTGAGATAGAAATCCTACACTTACAAACCTCTGTGCTTTAGTAAATTGTTCCAGTGTATATCCAAACAGAATCATGTAATTGCTGAGGCTGAAAGGCACCTCTGGAGATCCTGCAGTCCAACCCCCTTGCCAAGAGCAGGGTCAACTACAGCAGATTGCCCAGGACAGCGTCCAGTTGGGTTTTGCGTATCTCCAATGATGGAGACTCCAAACCTCCCTGGGCAACCTGTTCCATTGTTTGACCACCTTCATTGTAAAAGAGGGTGGGTTTTTTTAAAACAGTTTAACAGAATTTCCTGTATTTCAACTTGTGCCTATTGCCTTTTGTCCTGTCACCATGAACCACTGAGAAGAATCTGGCTCCATCTTCTTTACTCCCTCCATCAACTATTTATACACTTCGATAAGATCCCCTCTTGAGCTTAAGAGGTCTGAATGGCTTGAGTCACAGTGCAAGAAATTTCTTCACAGTTAAATTAGATTCAAACTGTGGCCAACGCCTGACAATGCTTGCTTAGACTATTTCTCTAATAGTGTGTCATTTTTAGGCTTGTTTACTGTACATTTTTATAGATTCGCAGAAAAGCTCAGCATCAAGAAAACTACTGCAGGTGATATACATATGTTTATATCTATGCATTTTCTGCTATGAATTTGTGCACGAACACAGATACCTATCTTCATTTGTAGATCTATAAAATTTATGTTATCTGATTTTTTTTTTTAAATATGTGCTACCACAGCTGAGCAAAACACAGGAATCTTGGTATTTTCAAGTGCCTCTTTACAGTTTTCCTTGAATTTATTAAACACAACTTCAGAAGATTCAAAAAGAATCACTGGGCATTAGAGCCTGTCCCTCTGAAGTCAATAAGTGTTACATATTTATTTAAATAATGGGAGCTTTTCATAAGCGTTACAGATTTTGGCATCAGTTGATAGCTGAATGGCAAACCAAGCACAAGTAATAGTAATAGGACATGTATTCATTGTTATGAATACTATGTCGTTAATTCAATGTTACGTTCATTCAACTCACCATCTCACATTGTCACTAGATAACGAATATATTGCATATAAACATCAAATTTCAGAGCAACCACCAAGTACCCAGGGTTAAGAAGAAACTATCCTCAAGCAAAATTTTTCGTGATCCTGTTATCCCTTCTACCAGAATGTGACCTGCATCTGACAGTGCTTAGACCACTTCTCTAGACATTTTAGGCTTGTTTGTAACAGTCAAATACAACAACCACTGAAGTCAATGGAAAAACAAACAAACCAAAAACAACCCTCTGACTTCAGTTGAACTGTTATATCATGCCCATCTACATTTTCTAGTGAAGAAAGTGAGAGCACAGCTCCATGACGGCTTAAACTGATGCATGCTGGTGCCGCCACAGCTCTGCCCTTGCTGTCTACCCTACTCATCCCATCTCCTCCCTTACGCTAGCACTGGCACTCACCTGACCTCATGGTGAACCCACTAGCAAAGCTAAAACAGCAGAAAACCACTCAGATTTCTGCAGCACATCACAATGTGGCTGAATGAGTTCCAGAACCAACACAAAGACAGGGTAGGAGCATGCAACTTACTTATATCAGGACTGCAGTACTACTCAAGTGCATCAGTTTAAAATCATGGAACTGCATGTTAAGTCCTCAGTGTTTCCATTCTTTTAGCTCTACTTATTCTCCCTTCATATTAGAATGAGGGGCTTGCTGTGGAAAGGGTCAAAGCTTCCTGAATTTCAAGTGAAGTAGGTGAAAGTCCTAACACCTGCTATAATGAAGAACCATCAGAGCACCTCCACATGGCTGTCTACAAACCTGCTAAAACTAGCACGCTGGATCAACTGTATGTGAACTCACAGTAAGAGGTATTATAAAAAGAAACAAAATAGAGCAGGGGAAAGGAAATATGGAGATAAGGCAAAGTCATTCAAGTACGATCTAATTTCAAAGATTCAAAAGTTCATTATGCAGTGAGCAGAATGAAGCATGATTCTAAAGTGCTTTTTCCCCTGAACAACAGGCTCCACTCATAGAGACTTGTAGCTTGTTTACACTTACAGCATATGCTTCTGCCTTCTTCAAAGTTTAACAGACTGAACACATCTTGTTCCCATTTAGGGAGAACAAATGACAACTAAAATAAAGGCATTTACCCTTGAAGAACAACACAATGACTGAGATTAGATGAAATGTTTTGGCAGCTACGAGAGGAACTTCAGAGGAGATCAAGAGTTTATGTGACCCACATCAAGATTAAAGAGCTGGTGAAACGTGTGGCATCCAGTAGTTTGAACATTCTGAGAACTGCACATGCTAACTTTGGAAGGAGCTTGGTTTTAATTAGTAACATCCCTCTAGAGTGGAATAGCATGCCTGCCACGTGCCAGCATTCAAAGAGGTTCAGACACATGGTGAGTCAGAAACTAGCACTATTCAGTAACATTGAAAACACACCAAATAATTAGAGCAAAATAGCATATCATTTAGTATCAAGGGCTTTTTGGTTTGTTTTTTTTATTAACGCCAGCAAACGCCAGGCTCAAGTTTCCTACAAGAGCACTCTGTCAAAATACCTTTATAACACTTCTTCATGCCATCACTTTTAAGGCCCTGTTCGGCCCCTCCTTTCACCCCGTAAGTATTTGTTCAGGATGTTGAGATATTTGTGGAATGAAAAGATGAGGGGGAAATCAAGGACAGCACTTTGATACATAATTTGAAGTTATCACAAAGTATCTTCATATTCTTACCCTCAGCTTCAAACAGATGCACCATATGTCTGAAAGTTACAAGCACATGCCTTTAAAATACAAGAGGCCTTGGAATCAAGTACCTATACACAAAGTTCTTACTAAGGAAATCCATCTGTGGCACCGCAGAAACATGAATCTTTACTTCTTTAGATCCTTCGGCTTGGCTCAAGTAATCTACTGTCCATTTGGTTGTGCAAGCGCCCAGTTCCATTCCTTTCAGCACTACTGGCCTTCTCTAAGGAACAAAAAAAATTCAGTGGTGAAATGATCGTAGCATCCAGTGGAAAAAAAATCAGAATTAGTTTTTCAAATGAAGTACGCGCAAGCAAGTCAGTTGAATACTGGGACTACACAAAGTCACAACTGATCCGTTCACAAATGAGTAAAGTGAATCAGAATGCTGAATATTGAAACAAAATGCAGTAGATTGTAGGACTGTTTCTCTATTGTCTGTATCCTCTTTCCTAACAGGATAAGGAACAATATGAGGAAGCAAAGGCAATTTTAAGACTCACTTTGTGCTGGGGCCATTGAGGAATCTAGCCAGGCTAAGGAATAGCTTTAGTCATTCTAGCCAGAGCTTAGCAGAAAACAGACAAAAGACCATACGGTTGAGGTGTAGACTGTGAGCTATGGTGGTGCTGTATGTTCTCACGAAAGAAGCTCTTTCCACCTATATTAAGGCTCCTCGATGCTGACAACCACGAACAGCGCACACAAAAAAATCAGTAGAAAGACACTTTTGCTTTGAATCGGGACCTTGGGGAAAAGAGGAAGCAGTGACGACAAAACAGCAATCACACTTTTTTTAACCACTGTCAAAGAAAATGAACTCACAGAGAGATCAGCTGTCAGAGCTTTGCAGCAGCTCAGAAGAGATTTGCCTGTAGAAGCTCCTTGCTCCTAAACTCACATTCAACTTAAGGGATTGCGATACCTCTTACGAAACCCAGAACCTGCGGCTTGTCAGCGCTAGCTCTGCCAGCCGAGGAGGTGTCACGGGAAATCTGCCTTCCCTTGTCTCCCCGCGCAGTCCCAGCCCGCTCCAGCGGGGGCCCCGCTCACAACACCCGGCCTGCGCGAAGCCAGGTCGGGCAGCTG